ACCAGAGAACACTATACCAACGAGAAGCGACAGAATCGGCGGTTCCTTTGATGTTTTGTGGTCACGCTAGAGTCGACCGATTTGACAGAAACACAATCGTTTACACTGAGAGAAGTTACACTTTTGAATAGATGTACACTGAACGAACTGCATCAGTATCAAACATTGTTCATATAATACAAGGATAACTGTAGTAAAATGTAGACAAATTAGGTATAATATATAAAAAAAATAAAACAAGATGTTTTACAACTAATATTTTTATTAAACAGATATAATATTTTTCTGCAATATTTGAAATAGTTTTTTAAAAATAGGTACCTGACAATGCAATAACTTCTTTGGGACAATCTTCCACAATTTTTGCCTCTAGCTCTTCTTGCCCATTTCTAAGTTGAGGAAACTGTATAGGTATTCCGTTTGGCAATAAGGTTATTCTTACATTCCCTTTACCAATATATTTGGTTTCGAAATAGTGTTCACAAAGCCTATAATTCTTATATACATCCACAATCCTAGGCAATAAATCGAGTCTATTGCAAGTTTCTATCCACACTCGAGCACTGCAAACAAAAAGAAAAATTTTCCTAAAGATATTCTCTATACTTATGCAATACCATATTAAAAGAAAACATACCACATTATTTTTTTAAAATCAAAATGCTTTTTTCTGATTTACAGTTTATAGGTAGGTACTTAAAATAATAATAATAATAATTTCCTTTCTAATCCTTACGTAATCTCAAAAGGGTTAATCCTTCACCAGTTTTGGATGAACAATCGCGAAAAGCACAATAATAACCATGCATTTTATTGATTTCAAGTTGATTCTAATTGTAGATGGAAACTGACAACAACACAACCCAATTCGCGCAAGCGCATACGAAAACTGTTAACGCAGAAAGCCTTGCTGTCGCTTCTCGTTGATATAGGCGTTATCTTATCATACACATTCATGAAATGTTTAAACATGTCTAAAGACAATTAAGTTAATTAAACAATAGAATGCTGAATAATTAGACAATTATAAAGGATTTTCTTTGCTGCTTAGATATACAATAAAGAGTACGCACTACTGTGTTGACTAAAATATTGTACTCCTAGATGATTGTACCCTAGATCAACCAATAATACAGAAGGTTAGTGTCATGTATTACCGAGGGACCCCGTTCCGCCATCTCTTGGTAACATAAGAACTCAACCGAGCGGTAAATTCAAATTGCTTACAAATACTTTTTACAAAAATTATTTGTTTTTGTTTTTATTATTGTCTTCTACAAACTGCGAATATTAGTATACCTACTGGTAAATAATAAACTCATAGCTGTACAGAAAATGATTAAAAATTAAATAAGTTGGTATATATTTTTATTCGATTTTAAAAGTATTGTCAATTCAAATTCAAATTTTTGTAATTTTATAAAATAAAATCAAATGTTTCTTTCGATACTAGAAATCTAGATATTCAAAAGATATCTAAAAAAATGTAATATATTGAAATTGTTAAGCAACATGATTTAAATTCATTAGTTTTAAAAAGATGAACACTACCTACTGATTTTTTTAAAAGAAATTGGTATAATATAATACCTTTATACCTATGTAATATTTACGATCAAGAATTTACAAGTTACGTAATATTTATTGGACATTGGACAATGAAAATGCAGAAATGATTACCACATATTTATTTGAATTTATATAAATTATGTTAAAAAAAAACAATAAGACTTGTCAATGTTTGCAACAAATACGAATTTCTAGTGCTGATTTGCTTTTACCTTATTACAAATTTCACTTCTCAAATTATCATTAAATATTTTAACACTTAGATTAATCACAAATTCACCCCCAATTAAAACACATAATTTCAACAATCGGTTTATTCCCTATGTCTCTTGTTTATTAGCTATATCGGGATTCTGGTAACTCCCGTGACTGACTGCTGTGCTCGCTGACCCCGCGGACCGCGCTCCATCGGCTGACCTCGACTGCTCGCGCATTCCAAAAGGGGTTCTTGTTGACTCAGTAATAGCGACGTAGTGGATGACATCCCTCTTTAATAATTAGCATCTAACATAGCTATAAATACATTTTAAATAAATAATGATAATTACATCACAAATTTTCTTGGAGTACAGTACAATTACAAATATGTTCAATAATTCTAGAGTTTATGATTTATTTCTGTCTAAATCTAAAGCCGGGTACAAATGTAAGCTTCCAGTCCTACCTTTATACCCTGCCATCTATCGTTGACATATTTATTAAAATTTATTAGAGCTCGTTTCGGCCTATATCAGCTGATACTCCCTGGTTTGTATTCTACTGTAAATATTTGTTTTCTTTTTTGGTAGTGAGAAATAAAATAGCTAAAAGTAACCAGCATTATGTCCTCTTTGAATGTGAGTGTCAGCAGTTGATATATGGCGTTGAGAAAAATCGGGTACAATCTTTCTGCGGCCTTAACATTTTGTCTACATTTACTGTACACCAATAGCATATCCACCAATTTAGAGTTATTGTAATGATGTTCTAGTGTAATAAAATACTAACTACTAATGATTACTTCAGTTTTACGCACACTCGACTAATACAGAGACATAGAATAATTTTAAATGCTCAAGGATGGCTGTTATGAAACTGTGGATTGGCAACCAAATGCAGCAAAGGGTACTGGCGGTACTACAAATACAAAATAATACGTAGTACGGCAAATACCCATGACTACAAGAGGTGGTATCCTCTTTAAAGATTCCTAAAGTTATAGGGTTTTCGAGAGGCTGTCTAAGATCCATGGATGTAAAGTTTTAAACCTTCGAATCATATTTTTTCAATAGCAGCACATACATAAATACTAATTTAAGCTTCCTAAAGGGTAAAACTATATGGACATCAGTCAAAAGATCGAGCGTATCTGATGAAGTAGGCTTGAAGCAACAACGGGTACTGACCGTACTATAATTCTAAAGTCACATAGTCCGACCATTACCCGAGGTAGCTCAAAGT